ACTTGCTTCATGTTTCAACCCTACCCATTCCGCATGCCATTTTTTTTGAACCAACCGCACGACTTCACTGGTACGTATAGGCAACCCAATGAATCTTTCACTTCTATGGCCTGCCTCAGGTACACTTTCATTGGGACAAAATTTTCTCGACATTGAGCTGGGTCACGACACATATTCCTCATCGATGGGTCTGGCCCTCAACCAATTTGGTCTCCTAATGGGACCCTTCAAAGATAGATATAGACAATGGTTTTTATTCCAAGGAGACTTTTTTGCATCATGCAACCACGGAACTCGAGCATGTGTTAGCCCGGGTTTTAGTTCTATCCGCACTGAACACTTGAGATGGCCGAGAGTATATCGCTAGACGATATGTTATTTTAAGATCTGCTAACAGCCTGCGAGGCCAATTTTAAGAGAGTCCGAATGGAAGAATCCGATAGATCGTCCGCCCAAATTAGCAAGGGGCAAATCGAGACATCGATCAAATTTCTCGAATTCATCGTCGAGATCCGATTCAGATGTCCCACTATTGTAGATGTTGGCCAAGCTATGCCTCAGATAAAAGGATATATTAAATGTTATGTGTTTCGATCGAAATTTTTTATTATTTCTTCAGGCGGGCAAAGGATCCATATTTCCCAATATATTATAACCTCAAAAGAATAGCACACCCAAAAATAGAAGGCTGGAATAACCTGTCCATTTCGGCAAATATTATTTTAAAAATAATAGAAGAAATAATATAACGTATTAGCAAATTAAAAATAAAAAACAAAGAAAATTTAATTTGCGTCAACCTCCACAACAAACAAATCCTAACGAATCAGAATAAATAGAATTATATGACCTAAAATCACGAAACGAAATATCTACGTTCCACCTAAGAGGAATTTTTGCTTTTGCCAACATCAAAAAAATCCTCATATTTTTATTCCCCGATTTTCAGCTTAAAACCGTCCCAGACGATAATCAAATTATCATTTGCTAGCGGCTAAATTTATTCATAAAATCGCAAAAAATCTCATTTATATAAAATTTTACAAGCCCTATATAAAAACGACATTGCCTAAATAATATTCCTACCTCTTCGATAAATTGCATTCCAATATTCCCCTTTAATACAAATCCAAACCATAAAAATATAACATATTAATTATTTCAATATACCTTCCACAACGATAATAACACTTATTATTAAATAATGCTATTCCAACTATAAACTTCGATTACATACGAATTTTTTTCCCTCCAATATTTAAAAGAAACATTTTGCCAATACTAACTAGAAACTAACTAATTTAAAAAAAATAAACCTTTCAATATTCTGTATAAATATTAATTTATTAACCACTACAATCTCCACTATAATAATTCTAAAAAAATCCTCATCCCAAATCAATTATCCTTCCTTAATTTATTACTTTAATTCTCTATTTATTGTTTCTAATACTAATAATTTTATATCAATAATTAATAATATTTTCCAAAAATTCCGCAAATTCATATATATTTATTTTTATTTTAAATCCAATTCTAAATATTTAAATCGTATAATTTCACAAATTTATAGTATTAGAAATATCATAATTATTTATATTTCTATATACATATATTATATTTATAAATGCAATATAATATAAAATATGAACAATAATATATTTTACGCTCTAAAGGTATTTGTAAGCGGTCTTTGCTCAAATCAAGGCATTCTCTAGCCCATCCTCTTCAAAAGCACAAGCAATCGAGGCGTGGGGTGAGGACGAGCAGCTGCCTGCATGCAATTCAACATCCTTCGAGCACTCTAGCTTCGTTCCTGTTTCCAAGACCTATACCTTTCTGAATCCCAAAACAATCATTGTTTGCCTGACCATACATATAGAATCATATTGATTACACAGTTGGAACTTCAACAAACCAGTGCATCCGTTTTGGGAAGGGTGTTGGCTTCAGGGAATTCTTCGAATTTGCTACACGGTCTGTCTTCCCGTAGTGGTACTGCACACACGGAAAAGCATGGCCTCTGCCGCAAGGCCGAAACTGAGGCCATAGGACGTGGCCCGACCTCTCTTTATGTACACTTTTGAACATCAGCTAGGCAAGGATCATGCCTAGACTTTCCGAGAGCCATGAATCTGTACAAACCAAAAGACGGCAAAAAGCCTGGATTGGCACTCGTTGCAGGTTGCAGGAAACTAACCACCTGCAAAGCACCCCCAGTAAACAAGATCGAAACCAACGAAGTTGTAAGCTACAGCATGGGCAAAACTTGGAAGGGCCAGCGCATATCCGCTGCACTTGGAATACGCTTCTCAATCCAGTTTCACGCCACATCAATCATCAGTTGTTGCTTTGTTGCCAAGAGAATGTTCGTTTCAATCGCTTGGAATTGTATGCGACATTGCCCTTGAGACCTGCTAGACTCAGCATGAATTCACTCTGGCATTTCCATGCGCTTATCTTGAGGCACATATCGAGCGCCCCATGTTAGCCTGTACCAGGCCCAGCCATGGTGAGCGGCGAGTTGTCCAGCTCACATGTGTCGCTCCTAGCTCCACATCCTGGCGAGTTGCAAGACGGACTCCAGACTGTCCAAATTTTTTCTCAGACTCAGAGCCAGACCTGGAACTAACTAGCCAAATATCATACGACACCAACGTGTCTATTTTTTTCATAATGATATAAATACACTTATGTATGTATAGTATAGTATAGAAAAGTATAGTATAGTATAGTATAGTATAGCATAGCATAGTATAGTATGTATGTATATACAGTATATAACATATATATCCAAAAAGTCCAAAGAACTGTCCAATGACTATATTGATATTTGGCACCGCCAGCAAAGGAACATCCTTTTTGGACTCCCAGGGTACATACATAAGGATACATATGTCCTTGATTGTCTCTTGTCTGCCAGATTTGGGCTGGCTCTACCCATCCCTACCAGCATGCAATGACCATGCTTTCCACCACCATAGCCTCATCGCCTTGTTGAATTGGTGCCAAAGAGTTGTGATCTTCACCTTTCAGGTTCCAGCGATCTTCACAAACTCTGCACGGCTGGTCGTTTCACCGGCTTTGAGCAAGCACGGCAGGCCAAAAGCTTTGCCAAAAGCTTTTGAACAGTCATTCAAATGGGTCTTAACACTGGAATTCTGATGCTCACGAAACCAGTGTCGCCTAGGACCAGTGCCGCACTGTTTTCACGCTTCGTCTCTGAATTTCTTGCGGCCATGGCTCCACTTCTGCTCGATGGTGCCTCCACTGATTGGGGGAAATTGGTCGAGCAACTATCAGGATCTAGGGTTTAGGGTTTAGGGAGCCAGGGGTGGTGCCAGAGGGGTCAATGTAGGCACATATGCGGTCGGCACATATGCGGTCGCATGGAGTGTCTGGGGTATGGTACACTCTGCTTCTCTGCAACTTTCGAACATCAGGAGAAACCTGAGCCTAGTGGATCCACGTTCGAGCCGGACGCCAAGGGATGTATCGAACAACAAGCAAAACCAATCCATGCCCCTTAAGAATGGGCCCGGGCCATTGAAGCCTTCGAAGAGTTTGAAAAGGACCACCCACAGCACCACATCCATCCATCTTTGCCCGCTCCCAGTTCGGCCATCGCGTCGACACGCTTCCACACGCTTCCCCGTCCAACGCGTCGACGCCGCTCCCGTCACCGTCACCGGCGTCGCGGCGGCGAAGGGTCCCATTGCCTTGGCGCTGGAACTTCTCCCCGAGCACCACGCCGATCTGTCGCTCCTCCCACTTGTGCAACGTAAAGGCCGGCCTCGGGTCGGGTATAGGCTAAATGGAGGGTGTGTGGAGAAAGGGGGTCAGCAAAAATCGCTTATACGAAGTTAGTGCATCAAAAATACCTTCCACGAAGTTCTGCGAAGGTTTCTGGAATTTCGTTGCAGTCAGTTCTCCTACTGGCCCACCATTCCACGAACTGTCCACGAATAGCCTTGGGTTCTACGAATGTCCCACGCCTTCCACGATGTTAGTAGAATAGGTTTTTCTGTGCACTACCCTTCCGTTTGCCTCTGATCGGGTCACACGGCGTATGCGAAGTCGCGGGGTGAATCACCCGGGGTGACCCGGGGTGGAGGTTTCGTTGAACCGGACCAATCAGCTGGTCCCACTTAGAAGAGAAGACGTTGGGAGCAAGAAGCTCACGAACGTAGCTGCTGGCATGCCGATTGGTCAACAAGAAGCTACGGTGGAACAAACGGTGGAAGCGTCGGCTTCGGTCGACGCAGCGCCTGCGCTAAGGCGGATCCCTGGTCGTCGCGGTGCTGCAGTTGACATGTGGTTTTGTAGCTGAAATCTGTCAAGTTCAGCAGGAACATCCATGTATATATATATATATTTATAGTTATAACATATTATATATATATATATCTTCGACCATTAGATGGTTCTTTTGATGAGGCATGACTCATCAAATGGACGATGATTCTTTTGACGATCTCAACTCTCAACTTCTCCACTTTGGCCAAATCACCGGCCATGGGCGTAGCGATAGTTGCCTGGGCCGGCTTTGCTGGCTGCGCTGTTGCTGAGTGGAAGGAGCTTGCTGATAGATTTGTATGATTTAGTTCGTTCATGTTCGTTCTAGTTAGACACATCCCTCAGCCGTGAGACTCGGCCAAACGCATGTCATGCGACAATCACGTGACATACATATTAATATTGTTACACTCCTACATGGAAGTGCAAAAAGGGCACTTGGAAGATCATTTTCCTTTACACATACTGTAGGTGGTTTTCCGGTTTCATGTTAGTGAGTGGGAGTGTGCTCAGTTCTGCGACCCCTGGACCACCAATGTCCGAGCTGCAAAATGCTACGATGTCGCCGGTCTCCCACTGCACACGGATGCCTCCCTCATCATACAAGGACACCTGCAGTGAAGAGCTGGAAGGGGTGCAGTTCGGCTTTACATGGATTTACTGTCCAGGGGAAAGGAAGACCGGAATCGGATCGAATCCGGAACATACGACCGGTCTTCCCCGCGTCCGCGAGGTCTCCGTGCCGACGAGTTCCGCGGGGGCGAGGAACTCGCCCCAGGAGAAAAGGAACAGGAAGGGCTACCTACGATGGGGGATCACCCGGACTAGAGCCAGACACATCATGCCACCATTTTCTCCAAGATCCTCCAATCACTTGGCGAACCGAGTACGGATGCCAGCATCGATTCTTTTCCGCAAAGGAACGCTCCAGCTCGGATCCCGACCCGACTTCAGAGAACTATACTATACCACAATCTACCACCCTCTACCGTGTGTTCTAGCAATCAAACAAGTGCCTGTAGCTCCCGGCTCCCAGTAGCTCCCTTTTCAGTGAATGTGGACAGCCCGTAGCTCGCTTCCGCGTCCGCAGTATTTCCGTTCCACTTCGAAAAACCCCTCAGCAATCTCAACACCTTCCACCAGCGCTTCCAGCAGCGCTACCAACGCTTTCCTCCAACCTCCTCGTCGCGGAACTCGTCCCGACTTGGAACCGAGTCACCCATTGTTGCAGCTCCTCCAACCTTGCCAACCCCCCAAAAAGGGAGGACCGGGTTGGAAATCATTGGAACAGTTGTCCATTGGAGTTGGAGAACTGACACCGGTAGTGGTGTGGGTGGCTCTGGAAATCCGAAAAACCGGGTCTGAACGGACCCGCCACACATGGGGCGTCAACCACTCAAGAAGACGCCACACATGGTGCGCAAAGGGATGAGAACGCAGTCTTTGCGTACGGCGTGGTCAACAAGTCACATGAACTCACGTGGACTCATAACGCCTGTGGATTGCTTTCTGCCCCCAGACAGGGAGAGGCTTTACAATCCAAACAGACACAGCAAGGGGTCACGTAGAAGCGTATCAGACTCGCAAGTACGCGCATCCAAACAGGGGGGGTCGTATTAATTAATCAAGTCTACATTGTGAATGCACCAAACATCACCAAACTAATAAAACAAAACACTGCCAACCAATCGTTTCACTGTGTTTCACTCTGCTCTTGCACCAAGCTGCGTGAAGGGTGTGCCATCACCGAAGGTCATTTGAAGAGGACGCTTGGCTGGTGGAACATCATGCACGCCCTGTCCGCCAAATGAGCCGGTGTTGCAGTGGTGGCTGGCAAGTCTGGTTGTGCTGTGCACAATCAAAGATATTGAAACATTCTGCTCGGGAAACAGCAACACACAAAACCAAACTCGGCATGTAAACTTCAACGGAACAGCTCTCTTCCTTTGGCTTGTTTCAACTACCCTCCGACTCACTAACATGGAAGTGGACAAATCACCTGTTTGGTATCCGGATCTCATGGTCCTTTCAGTCTCATGCCATCCACGTAACCATGTTTGACGTGTAGACTCGTGTAGACTCTTCCGTGTTCGTCGGAGCTTGTCGGACCGTGTTTCCTCGAACTGAACTTGTGTCGCACCTTCCAGGTGTCAAACCACATGTTGTGATCTGCAATGCTGCCTCGTGTGGTCAGAGCCCGATTTTTTACCACAGGTCGGTCGTTGCAAGAGTCGGACGAGGTTCGGGAGGGTGAATGGGGGTTCTGTTTAGGCAACTGCAATTCATCTCTCAGATTCTGGGGAAGGTGTTTTCTGGGAGTATCCGGAGTATCCTTAGTTACTATACAAGCATTGGGCCCTCACGTAGCAAAACCAGACTTTGGCATGACATCTGCTTGCCTCGTTACCCAGAATGCAGGAACATACCGAGCCAACGAATATCTCGCTAGTGAGCATTGATACGTTCGTCATACATGTCTTCAAATCGTGGCAGGAAGAAGCTTCTTGCTATTGTCATCTTGCATAAAGCTGAGGTGCTGTAGAGAACATTCCTCCCCACGGATGGACAGTACTCAAAGGCGCTGATTGTAAGCCTTGGACCAGAAATTCAGCAGTTCAATACTTGTTCAAAACCCTTTTTGCATCACTGTGAGGACATGAGACACTGAGCTTGAGTGAACATTGAGCAAAACATGCACCATGACGTCGGCTACCCATGACGCTCTTCTCAGAGACCCTCTTGCCAAAGTGCTCGAAGAAGAGACACAGATTTCAGAGCATCAGCACAAACAAATGAAATGGGTCTGCAAAGCAAACCGCAAAACAAAAAAATCCGGCTGACTTTCCAAGTCAAGATGCTTGGTCTTCATGTATCGCTTAGATTCTGGTTTAAGAGGATCCTCACACCACCTGAGCCAACATAGATCTTGCCGCTTCAATGGGCAAGTCCCCAAGTGGAGTTCCAAAATGTACTCACACATGACACTGCTTTTGGATGCAAAGCCGTGCTCACAGTGTCCGATTGCAAGTTGCCCACAATGTCCGGTGCAATCTGATTTGCACTTTTAAGACATACTAATACATTTGCGCACTCCATGGAACCAGGAAAAGATAAAACGACACATCTTCCTGGATTCACCCAGGAACCGGGAAAAACACGCACATCACCAAGCAAGCAAAACCAGGCATCGATGACATCGCGTGACCAGTACGTTCGGCCGTAGGTCTTGGCGCTTGCGTCGCTGAAGCCAGGGCGCTCCACGTCCAAACCGCACTCGCGCGCCACACGCTCGGCTTCTTCCGGCCTCCGAAGGGGGAGAGCGTGGTGTGATCGGAATGGCTAGGGATCGAAAGTCAGATCGGTCCTGCAGATGGAGAAGATCATATCTGAATGGGCTCCGATCTCATAACAAAGAAGAAGCGGAAGCTTTTTGCGTGGTTTAGATGATGGTTTTCTGGTGGGTGCGTGCCACGGCGTTCGTTTAAAGGGTCTACTGGTGACCCCTGACGCTCTCTTGCCCAAAAGCAAACGATGAGTACCGACTCTTTGGTGAGAAACCGACCTTCTGAGTGCCCTTCATATATATGGGTGTGGCCAGAAACCCTGGTATGGATCGTGTGTGGGTTTGGGTGTGTGATCCAAGCCTTATGTTTCTGGCCGTAGCCATATCTTCATATCAACATATATGAAGGGCACTGGATTCAACAAGCATCCTTCTGAAGGCGCCGCTTGGAGAACGACGAAAGCTGAGAGATCAGTAGCCAGTCATGCCACATCAAATGGCTGGTGCTTTCAGTTGCATGGGTTCTTGTTTTACTCCAAGCTTCTGAAAGCCCACAAAGCTATGGATGGCGCTTGGTTCAGAGGAAGGGAATGTCCAATGATTTGGGTCATGCTTGAAGATGGAATCTAGCCTTGCTCTCGGGTCAAAACCACGGGGAAAACCAAGGGATCTCCTCAAACAAGCCCGGCCGTCTGCGCACGCATGGTGCGGAAACGACACATCCCAGGCACGTCTCCACGCCGAAAGACAGCTGCCAGTGGTTGTAAACCTCAGGAAGACAGCGAATTCGGAAGAAAACATGAACAACACCCGTTTCGGAGGGTGTTGCACCAGTCGGCCGTGACACCTGTTTTTTTCTCAGGCATCAATGACCACGCGGACAGAATGCATGCATGCATGCGACTGGTTTCTGCCTGGCCTTCTGCTTGTGAGCCTTCCAAAGCGACCAACACATGCCCCGGGTGCGAATCACCGGGGCTGTGAGGGGAAGCACTGTTTTCGCTGTACGCGCGCGCTTTACCAAACGCGACGGTCAGATCGGCGCGATCGACGCCTGGGCGCGATTTTGGGAAGACCCCAAATCCGCCGCTGAGTCGGATCGAGGTTCTTTTCTTCGCGAAAGCCTCTGCTTTTTGATCATGAATGATCATTCATGGGTTTGTATCCGGAACCCAGTTCGCCCCTCTTCCCATTTTCGTGACTTCCACTGCCAAGACGCAGAAGCACCCTGTTGCCATCCCATGCCCTGCAGTTTTCTGTCAGGACAAAGTATCTCAAAGCTGGTCGTTTTGATGTCTCGGAACACCAAACCACAAACCATCTTTGCAACATTAGAACAATTTTCTCTCTCGGAATGTTGCGGCCTTGTGACGTCATCAAGCATTTAGCGCTTCTCCACTCAATTTTCTGGCCTCGTATGCTTCTCGATCTGTCAGGCATCGAATGTAGCCTCACGTGACTCAAACGCTTCCAGGACAAAATCTTCTCTGACAAGAGTTCCTCACACAAGTCCCGTCAACGGGACTTCAAGGACTTCCACTGGAAAATCACACCTCCCAAACCAGTGAGTCCATCCGGATCAACTCCTGAGTCGCGGACACACTCCTTTGTCACCTTGGATGCTTGCAAATCAAAGATGTGATTGATTGTCCCCCAGATAGTGAAAGCTCTTGGGGTTCTTACTTCAAATACCTTCAAGCATAGGAAGAGGTGCCTGTGTGCGCTGGTGCAGTGCTGCCTGGGTACTGGTGCTGCCCTAGAGGGTGCTGGTGCTGCCGCGGGCGCTGGAACCCCCAAAATACGTTTTGCTATCTGGGGTCTATGCTTTCACAACTTTCCAAGCACCTTAAAAGTCAAACGAACCCGAGCAAAGCCCCGAGGTCGAAGAAACCAAGGCCGCGGACTCTTCACAACGACTGGGCGGTCACTCCATCTTGAGTCATGAAGGCGGATATCATGTAGACTCTGGATTAATAACCCCCTGCATCTGAATTGACAAGCCTCTTTACATGGGGGGTTTATTAATCAAGAGTCTCCAAGCCTGTCCGGGTTTCCTTACATCTGCTCCGGTTCTTGAAAAAGCACTTGGCTGCTTTCTAAGCACACTGAAAAGCTGTTCCTACCGTTACTACCAGGACCATACCTAGATCTTTAGACTGTGCAACATTCATGCCTTTTCATCTACAAAATTAAAACCAGCCAAAAGGCATATTTCTTGCAAACAGAGTTGGAAGATCTAGGTATTGTGAAGGCTTTTTGCCAGCAAAACATGCCCCAGAGACATGTGTCCAACGAAAAAACATATCACCGCTCTTGAATGTCCGCCCACGACGGGGCGAGGCGCTTATATTAAGCACGAATCGCTCAAAATAGGCCTGCTTGAACATTTCTATAATTTGTGATGCATCAAATATGCCGTAAATGTCACAGCATCTCTTGCATCATGCTTGTCTTTGGCAGTTCCAGCCATATAGAAATAATAGTTGTTTGGTAAAGACAATTAAAACAAAGGTGGGCCAGCAATCCCACAAGGTATCACAAGTGAATGATTTTTGCATCAATTCCTAGATCCTTGGATGCCAACATGTTCCAACAACATCTCTCAAATGTTCTTGCCAAAGAATCCGTTTTGGGCGCACGAAGAAGACTCTACTCCGTCACGAGCTTACAACAAAGCGTCTTCGTGTGATTGGTCTTCGGGTCAAGACTTGACCATCAGATTGATATCATCCGTCGCAAACACCCCAGCCCACTCCAGGAGGGTTGGGCTAATGGTCTAGTGGCTCGCCGACGCATCCCGGACAACGCGTCGGGTGCAACACGGACCGGCGGACAGGCAGGGAAAACTACCCCCCACCCCTGCAGTTAAACGGGATGAGCTAGGGTGTGGACCGTTAAAACATTGTTAAAACACAACCAGCCCACTCGAGTGCGGGAAAGCATGGTAGACCGTCGCTCGAAGCAACTTTCAGTGGTTCTTAATCAATCAACATTGATCTGAAAAGACTTGAGGGTGCCAATGGGTCACGGTTGTATTCGGAAACTAAACGGTTATATTCGGAAACTGGGACGGTTGTATATTCGGAAACTGGATGGTTGTATTTGGAAAGTACATAACTATATTCGGAAACTGGTATTCGGATGTATTCGGAAACTGGACGGTTGTATTCGGAAACTACTGTTCGGAAACTACGAAGAGCAAAACCAACACTATTCATACCCACCTCTGTTTGTTGCCCCCCCCACACATTTTACAGAATACGAGGAACATAGTTTCTGAATACCACGAACATAGTTTCTGAATACAACGAAATAGTTTCTGAATACGACAAAGTACAGTAGTTTCTAAATACGACGAAAATAGTCTCTGAATACAACGAAATAGTTTCTGAATCCCGCAGTTTCTGAATACAACGAAATAGTTTCTGAAGACTAGTTTCTGAATACAGCGCAGTTTCTGAATACGACTTTGTTCGGCACCCGTCTTCCTTCACCCGTCTTCTTTTCGGACAATGTCTCCTTCCTTCACCGTGGCACGGAGCTTTCGTCCCAGGTCCGTCTGCATCAAGGAGTCGGTGACTGACATGTTCTCGGACAAGTATGTGTCGCCCTTGCCAGGAGTCGCCTCCGGCGGGTCCGGCGCGCACTGCGGCGGAGCGGTGCTCGGGTTCGGTCGGTGGGGCCAAGCCAAGGACCCACCCAAACGCGACCCTGGACCCGAACCTATGCCGGGGTCGGACCCTCATATGGAGGGGTCTGGACCCGAACCAATCCCTATGGTTTTGAGGGACCAAGGGCTGTTTGGAGCGTCTGGGCAGATCAAATCCTGGTTCTAGATGGTCCTGGCTTTCAGAGATTCCAACCATGAAAAGAATGCTTCGACTTGGTCAGCCCTGGACACGCTACGTCAGGCTTACACGGAGACGAACACACACACACACACCAACCAACTGACACCAACTGTATCCAACTGTGGGGCACCCACAAATTTCAGTGCTGGAGCTGGAGATCTCACAGCCTCCAACAGTTTCAGGCCAGTCAGGCCAAATATCTGAAGAACTTTCAAACACGTAGCACAGAAATTCCTGGCATCCAAATACTTCACGACGTCAGCCATACCTTTAAAGTCCTTTAAAGCTGTGCCATCGAACTTGGCTTGCCTTGATGCTGCAAAAGGCCAAGTTCTTCATGCTGTGTTGGTTGTAAGCCTCAGGCGACGGAGTTAGAGATTTGCCGCCAGCACTGCGGCCTGGCCGAAAGGACCCCGGTGCGGGGGATTCGTTTTAGGATTGCATCTCTCCAATGTGCTTGATACTTACATGATCTTACATGTACTCACTGAACATGGTGGTACAGGAGATTTTGGACGGTACGCGACTCTAGTGACCACGGCCGAGAAGGACACTTGAGAAGGTGGTTCCAATTCGAAAGGCTCTTCAGCTGATGCTTCCACAGCTTCTCTGGGTCCTAGGTCCCAGGTGAGCCAAAACACCAGAAATTGCCTTTTCATGCTTTTTCAGAGGTGTTCTTCCTGGAAACCCAGTCCAAACCAGAAACAGTTCTGTTCCGGCGCCTCGGTGGTTCCAGTCCGTTTCAGTCACCGACACATACGATACGCCTCGGTTGTTCCACTCGTTCCTCTCAGCCAGGCAGCCATCTCGTGATGGTAGTGTAGCCAGGCATCGTTGGGTGCTCCCACCTGTGAGCGTGTGGCGAGTACTGAAAGTCAAAGGATTCCACAAAACCGTTTTTTTCTCCAAACGATTCTTTCCCCAAACAAAGCATGTCAATCCCCCCCCCAGAAAGAATATCAACCTCCGCATGGTCGTTCGAAGAACAAGGATCTTCGAATCCAGGATCGCCTCAAAGACGTTCTCGATGATCCCTTCACGTGGATTGGCGCCACCTTCGTATTTCATTTGCCTCGATCGACCGGTTCCGGTGCCATTTGGTGGCCATCAGTCCGGTGGGGGGGGTCCCGAGTCCCGGTGTCTGGTCGTTTCGACTCGTGAGAGTGGAGGCCGAGGAGTAGGCGAAAACAGATGCAAATGACAGATGCAACTCATCATGTGCATGAGGACGAAGATCTTAGATCGATCTTAGATCGATCTTAGATCGACACAAGTTGGAAAGATGCACTTCTTCCTCAGGCAAAGTACTTCTTCACCACGGCCCGTGCATATCGATGCATCTCTTTGGCTTCAGTAAGGCCGGTGTTGGTCAACCTCAGCCAGAGCAGAACACATATCTTCCCAAGGCTGGGAATGCTAAGGGCTTCTCACAGTAAAAGGGTACAACAAAGACTGGTTTGAGGCATGTTTGGCCAATTCCTCTCGCTTTGACCGCTCTTCACTGGAACCGTCCACACTCAAAAAAACACGATTTGAGTGCGTCCGATCGCTCCGTTCGTAGCGATGCCCTTGTTACTAGCGATGCCAGGAGCTACCAGTACCAGTAGCGTCCTTGCTACTGTGGTTTGTCGGTTCTCTGAAACTTCAATCGATGCATTGCTGCGGCTTCCCGCGGGGGGGCGGAACCCCGCGGGGCATTTCATCAAAGCTTCCCCGCCTCACAACACCAAACGTGTCGTAGGTGCTCCTCATGCCTCGCACCGACCACGCGGTACACCGAGTCGACCGAGTCGACCGACTCCCGAAGCTTTTCGATTCGATCCCTGACACAGAAAGGTGAACCAGACTTTCCACCTGTTGCTCTATCCTTTTAAATCACCCAAACGATCCCAAAAGGTTGAAGGCCATCCATTGACTGGGTAGGCTAGGTGAATTATGGGGTAAAGATAAAACAAACTGTCCAATCCTTTTTTGGGTAATTCACAGCCAAGCGAGGTGTTCTTCTCAAGTGATGAACATTTTGACATGTGCTTCAAAAGCAACTTTTGGGCAACTTGTGAAACATTCTGAAATGACCGACCATCACAAACTGCCATAACAAACTGCCACAAAATAGGTGCCACCAGGATAGAGTGATACAACTGGAATTTTCACCAGCCAACTCATGCTCTTGATTGGCCCCACCAAAAAAAATAGTAAGTTGTGCAATCATGCCGAGCATCGGTCGAAGAGTTCTGCCTCGTTCCAGGTTCCAGGTTGATAGGGTCGGCAATCGATGGAGAACGCTTCCACTGGCACCTTGTCATGCTGACCCTTTCCTCAGAACACACACACAAACATCAAGCGATCCTATTTTCTTCTCATGTTTTCTGTCGAAACAGGACACTCAAACATCATGAAGGGTCGAACACACGTCACACCAAGCATCATGAAACTTGAGAGGAGGGAGACACGAAAGGTAGGACAGCGGGAAGAGAAGAGAACGCGAGAGGCAGGAACAGAAATGCAATGTTCGACATGGTGATTTATCCCCTCGGAGGCGACCTGTCGTAAATATGTGTTCATATGCACTCTAAATGTTCAAACATATGCTCTCGAAATGTTCAAAAAGATTCTGAGGAAAACAAACTTGCCCCATGGCTCAGATCATCGGTGAGCATTGAATCAGAGCATCATAGGATTTGAACTATCCTGAAACCATAAGAGGCTCACGAAGACGTTCCCCAGGAGAGAATTGACGTGCTTCACAAAACAAACTCTAGGTATGTATCCCCTCGGGGGACCTTTCGTGATTAGAATTTCATATGCACTCATTCTGAATGTTCAAGAGGGTTTCAACTATCCTGAAATCATGAGAGGCTCACGAAGACGTTCTCGAGGAGAGAATTGAATTTAGAGGGGGGGGGGCTGTTTTGAAAAATCAATTCCAAGGGGGGGGGGGGGGGGTTCTGTATTGAGAAATCAATTCGACCCGGACGCGCCAACACTTGCTTCGCAAGACAAACTCAAGGTATCCCCTAAAGGGCTACCTTTCGTGACATGAAACTTCGAAAATCCTGGAATTTGGTCTTGGCTTGGATGCGTGCGCCTGCGTGTGCCTGCGGCGACACCACGCAAACCCTCGAACATCCTGGGTTTTGCCACAGAAAACAACTTACAGTATATAAGACCTATCAACACCTGTCATCAGCTCATTTGAAGCGTGCATCCCACCCCACCCACCGAAGCGGTATCCGAAGAACCCTGCTATTGACATCTTTTAAGGCAGTGCAGTGATGTGCGGTGGTGCTCGACTGGTGCCCATGCCACAACCTCGTCCATCAACAGTGCGAGCTCAGGCACGGAAGACAGGCACAATGTTTGGTGCCTTAAGCAAAGCTGGAGCGTGGAGCTTGGTGGTGCTCAACGAACAGTACTGTACGTACTCTCCCAAAACCCATCCAACCAATAAGCGCACCTGGGAAACTACCCCTTTTAGTAAGGTCCTCTTCCACACTGGTAGCGAGGAAGGCCATTTGTGTTCGCAAAGTCCACTGCTTTTGGCCAGGACCTGCCGACCTGCTTTTCTCCCTGGAACAAAGCCCAAACCCAATAGAACTGCACGGGAACGAGCTCACTTTGATTTGGCCGTGAGTCAAGAGCAAAGAGGTCTGAGGAGAAACGATCTGGCAGAAACTGTCTGAGCTTAGACCCCAGAACCGCTAGCCAATTGGGAGCCATGAAGCCCGGAGGCCTGGAAGCCTGGAACCATCCTCCAAACCTCCGCTCCTCCCAATGAATCCAGAACCCAACTGTTTCAGGGAAAGTATACAAACAGAACATACCAGCACCTTCATGTCGGGGTCACCTGGCTGGAAGCCCCTACACTACCATCCGGGATCTCCAGACAGGACAGCCCGACATGAAGGTCCAGGTAGATCAAAAGCTGTTGGGGCCCTCCCTATCAAAAATCCATCTGGACTGAGCCTCCCTACACTCAGCCAGAAGCCTGGCAAACGCCCTCCAGGCGGCATGCCGCCGGTGAACATGGAACGGGCCTGGCGAACAAGGAGGCAGCCCACATGAGAAGCAGGCACAAAAGAATATCAAATTACATCAAAGCACACTGGTAGGATCCCGGATCCTACAGGGGTAAGAATCTAGAATCAGAAGCCGGCGGAAACCGACGGCTTGCTATGCAGTCTGTACACTGAAGCAAATAGCATCTGGCTGAATTTCTATACTTCACCTGACCCTCTGAGTAGAGCCTTTCATTCTGCGTGGTTACCCTCTAATCGCATGAAGAAATCGATACGATATCCCTCCAAACTTTCCCTCCAAAACGGCCCTCTGAGCTGTACAGTTGTTGCACAAAGATCAATGCAAACCCGGAGACAGCAACGCCTTTAAGTTCATTCAAGTTCACTGCAAAACATTGTTTTGCATCTTGCCTGGATATTCTTCAAGCCCATACGTCCAGCCATGGTTGAAGCACGTGCCATGCCTCTAGCAGAGCAGCCACAAGTGCGGCTTGCTTTACCGAATCGAAACAACTGAAGCTTGCGAAGCCTGCTTTCAAGATGGGGGAAGCAGCAAAATGCTGAGCCAAGACAGCTGGCAACCGGGGCATTGCACAGCAAACCCAGAAGCCACTTAGCAAACCGCCCTGCTAATTAGTGGCGGAACAACGAATGGCCAACTACAAAAAATCCAGACGAATCAAGCAATACAAGCCATTTTTTTGCACATCACCAAGTGCCACACAATGTTAAAGACACATATGCCGGTCGAACGGACTCATTGCAATAAGGAACATGACTCACAGTGCTTCTTCTTCAAGGGCCTTAAGATTCTCATGGAACACGTATTTCTTTCGTGCAAAGAAGGTATGATATATAGTTACTTATATATATATATGTATATTTTAATATATATGTATATATAATACGTAATCCCTGGTAGGTAAAACTCCCGGTACAGTAGTCTATTCTGGTCCTTTTCGGTGGTCAAACACCGGTAGCCTGTTGACCCACAGCATCCGGACAACTTCTGTCGACCGACCCGAAAAAGCAGTCTAGCAGTCTGTATAGGTTCCATAGGTTCCGGATTCTTCCAAAAACGAGTAGAGTAGACCATCTCAATGGAGCAGCGAATCACTTTTTAAGGCCGGACATCTCGGTCTCGAAGTCCTCTGCGCTGGGCGGGGCCCTCAGATCGTCCTTGGTGCTGCGATGTGCAACGTTTTCCAACCGCTTCGAAGGACGTCAAACATCTACCGTTGAAGTGGGAAAACAGCTCAAGACGGACAAGGTGAAGCCATACAGAACCTATTGGTCATATACATGTGGTTAGGAGGTTTCATCAAACATGTATAGACAGTTATCAACGATACAATCTTGAAGAACATAATATTCATATAGGAAATATAGCGCATCTTTGTTTTTGTGGGGAGTAGCCGGCCCCCTCACCAAGTTGATGTGTTCACCGCTTCTGATACTCCCCCGCTACCTTGCACATGGTTCCGAAACCAACTTACTAGTGTTTTGGGGCGCTTGTCGCGGTGCTGGCCTGCACGTCTTGCCATCCTTGCGCAAGTAGAGCCCCTGGACCACCTGCTGCACTGTCTTGCAAGCCTCAACAGGGTCAAAGCATTACACTCCGAGTCACTAACATGGTTTCGCTGTTTAGTGTTCGCAAAAATTGTCATCCAACTGGAGAACGCACGTTCTCCACGTTGGCCCATCTTGTTTCAGGGGAGTGCTTCGCCTGCCAACGTGGAGGGGTTTTCAGCCTCAAGGGCCTCGATCGAAACGGAAGGATTGAGTCCCGACCGAGACGTCCTGAGTCGTTGCAGGAACAAAATAAACAGCGGTCCCGACTGGCCACTGAGTCGAGCTGGAACAGCCCGGTGGACAAAGAAATCCATCTGCGACACAAACATTCAGCTGGTGCAAGGAAACCAGCTGAAAAACTACCAAACCATATATGATGCGTTCTCAGGCACTCAACGCTTTTGATCATTCATCCATCACGGTTTTCAAATAAGTTTGGCAGGTCGCTGTTTGTTCCAGCCCAGCTGCGCAGCTGCGCCCGGTTTTTCCTCGCCTGCGTTCCTTCAGGGCACTTGAAGTGTCGTTCCACTTGTCCATTCCAAGCGAGCTGCTCCTGGAACGACCGTCTGTGACCGCGGGTCAAACCGGTGTAGTTCCTCGACTGATTGACCGTCTCTCTTTTAGTAGTGGTTTGTCATGCTTCGTCTCATTCCTCGTCTTTTTGAGGTATTCTGGAGAGGGATTTGGATGAAACAAAACAGACCATCCATCGAACCCGACATCCAAAGACCCACCGATCTGCGCCAACATCAACATTCCGATGGACGAAGACACGATCTGCGAACCGGTTTCGCCCCAGATCCCGAGGATTCTCCGAACCGACACCGATCGCCGCCACCCGCGTGGGCTTTTCCTCCGTCTTCGCCCTCCGAAAACCCCGACGTTGGGAGCGACGGAGCAGAGAGTGAAAGCCGACGAACTCCGCACATGAGACGTGGCGAACTCACTCGACTTGAGGATGAAGCGAGCCGTCTTCTGGATTGTTCAAAAGTAGAGCAAACATGGACAAAGAAATGCCATGAATGACTAGGTAACGTGCGTCAACCATTCCAGGTGTCTCACCAAAGCAGGTTGAACGTTTACGCTTGCGATTGCTTGCGCAAACCCACAAGTCCCGCAATCCACTCAACGACATGACTGAAATTAAATCCGATCCTATGAGAACCCTTCGCAGCACCACATAATTAATGTAGACTCTTGACAAATAAATCCTTCCATTTGGATTGAAAAGCCTCTTCATATCGAGGGGGGTTGAATTATAATCATAATCACGAGTCTACATTCTTCTCTTCGAACACCCACAGATCTGTGGAGGGCATTGATCCTTGGAACAGCGCCGTTTCCGCGTTCGTTTCATCTCCAAGCGTAGCTCAGCGACCCCAGAACCCGCAAAAAACAGGAGGAACGCCCGCTCCAGACTGCTGAGGCTGTTGGGACGCCAAGGCGTTGGAGGTTGCGTGGAGATGGCTCTGATGGTTTCATGGGGGTTCTCTGACACAGTGGAACCATGCATTGACATGGCATGGAGAGAACGGGGCACATCAGGTATGAGATGGCGACTATGATGCAATGCAGCGCATGAAGTAAGGCCGTTGAAGGCATGCTATCCTCCTGAACCCTGAGACCCCCAGCATGTGCGGTCTTGAAGAAATCCCAAACGACCAGGAATTGATCACATATGGAATCAGTTTAGGACACAATCAGAATGAGAGGCCCATCATGAAGATTTCGGCCACTTCTGGTGCCATAGGCCCTTTCTGAAAAAACACCTTCTGACACACCATTTCTAGTTTCCGTCGTGACGGGGCCGGTCGAACTCATCCAAGTCTTGGAGTCGGGGCGTTCCATGTCGGTCCACTCACGTTACCCTCGCCGCTTGCCAAAGAAGAACCCCACCTTGCAGGTTGGTTTGGAACCGCATGAATCGGGTCCAACTCAAGGCCTGTAATGTGCACTTTCTTGCGAGAACGAGAACTCCACGCCTTCCGGGACTCTCGGCGAACTTGGAACAAATCAGACAAATCTTCGTCACCACGTGTCCAGAGTGGTGTGGCGGAAGCCGCCTGAGCATGGAACGTCTGTGTGGGATGCCAAACCCTAGTGGCCCTGTGACATCTAAGCTAGACCTGCTCGCAATCCCTTCCCCTCATATTTTCCTGCCAGAAGTTGGGGACACTGAGATTCAAGCAAACCAAACAGATGTTCTGGAGGCTTCTGCTTGATAGGGGATTTTTTTTTCCCACATCAATCTCACGAGTGATGCCTTCCCACTGGCGCTGCCTTCCCACTGCCATCACTCTGCATTCTTGGCGTGGAGAACCGGCGCTTGAAGCGTAGAAAGTCCTTTCGAAGAGAGGACTGACACATGTTTTCTTTTCACTTCGTTTGCAGCAAGGCTCTGAGAAAAAGCGCGGTCCTCCTTGCTCAGCATGGAATTTGCAAAGTCCGGACCCAAATCTTCCACCTGTGCAACTGTTTCAAGATTCAAGACCATGAATGGTCAGCAAAACCTATTTAGGGCAGACTGTGCTTTGAACACTCAGTGGCTGTACAGTAGAAGTGTGTGCAAAAACGCGGTTCTCACAGATCATTTCAACCTTGATCATCGAAAGCTTGAACACATGTTTTGAGCTGGTAATTCGAGGTCACATGGCCCTTATGTAAAGTGTACCTCTGAGGTTACTCGGTGATGGTTAGTTAGGGCGTCCAAAAAAGATGAAAACCTGCTCGTCTCAGCCATGAATACAAAGATCCAGCATGACTCAGTTCGGACCCACCGACAGGAAAATAGCAGCGTCCTCTACAATCAGACTTCTGAGATTTAATGCCTGCTACCATTGCATCGGAACATGCTGCTGGCAAATGGCTGCTCGTGACCGCTGTGACCACACCGCCGTCGTCTTCATGTTCTACCAAGCCTATTGCCGCACCTGCCCAAGATGGGCTGTGTGTTAGTGCCAGAATCCACTCCTCTCTTGCTATACAAGTCCTATATGGGAGATTCTTGGACCGAGCAACGGTTCACAAATGCCCGCCCCCGGCATCGCTCACCTCCCAGGCTTTCTGCCGCAGCTGCCGCCGTTCCGCGACCTTCTGCCGCGCCAGGACTTTGCGGCGTTGGCGCCGCCAGGCCTGCGCGCCCGAAAAGAAAAAACCACTGGGCAGGGAAGGATCTGAGGATCTTTCAGGACCTGCATTACACTCCACTTCCATGTTGGTTCCAGAAGTATTTGCTCCTGTGGGATTCTTGGAGGATTTGCAAAAGGGTTTCTATCTTCACAAGCTGATAGCCAGGAGACTGCCCCATCACATTCACGTGATTGTCCAAGAGGACGTTGACACCCAACAATTCGAGTTGTTGTACTTCACACTTTTCCGAAGAAACTCATACTATCTTCTGCATCATCCCACACAAACCAGTCGCGTCGGCTCTGTGGTGGGCTGAGCGGACTGCACTGTCTCTCTCTCTCTGTGTCTCTCATGCCTATCTTAGCAGCCACTCCACCTCCTCCAAGGTTTTTCCGATAGATATAGTATTATGTTATATATGTACCTGGAACACCGAACCATGGTTTTTTCTTCACCTTGCGTATCTGAGCATGTTTTACCGTAATTTGAATCGGAATTGGTCCGTTTGCGTATTTGCACCCGACGGGTGAATTGGTTCTGGACGACATTCTATAGAAATGTGAGTATTGTGACCATGGAGTCATCTTCGACACGAAGGGCCTTGAAGATGCGGAGACCACGGGGTGAGCTTTTGATTTGCATTTTCAATTTTGTTCAGTTTCCATTCTGTTTGCCATCTACCTTACCTGCTTTACTTCTACTGTGATTGGCGGCGTGGCTCAAAAGTTGGGTTGGTGAAAGGTTGGGATGGTGCTCAACATATGTGTATTTTTTCAGGAGTGGTGGGAGGATCCAGAGGTCAAGGGCCGCGTGATGCGAACTGCCAGCATATGAAAGACATGATCGTGAATGTTGGCTTGCGCGTTGTTTCCGGCCGCAGCGATGAAGACTGCTATATGAACGAGGCAGTCTTGCTCCCGCTGCTAGCGCGGATGAAGCTACAGAAGTGCCTCGGGATCCCAGACAAACAACAGTTGCAGCTGCAGCTGCAAATGGTTCACATTAAGAGCATGAAAATTGAGAATATCAATGAGGAGATTGTGTCCAAGATTAAGATCGATGAAGAGACACTCGCAAATTGTTACCTGGCGGCTGCATCATTGCAAATCGGGTTATTTGCAGGATCGAAAAATGCCTGCGCTTTCTTTCCCATCAGGACGAGAACATGGTCAAATTGATCAGCCATTGTGGCGACAAGGTGCAAGCGATCGGATTCTCGAGACGAGGACTGCAAAGGTGGGACTGTCCTCGGCGCGGCAACATTGAGTCAGCTTAGTGATGCTCAGTTGGAAGCTAGAATTGCAGATTTCCGTGTAAATGCTTCTGAATTCCCACGTGCTGAAGAAGTGCCACCCCCATCATCAAACGAGTTGAATGTAGTGGATTCTTCAAACGATGAGCCAGGGAGTGAGGATGGTAATAAAAAGGTTCGGTCGATGCCCACGGAGATTCTTGAAGAGCGCGTTCAAAGCCTGAAGATGCATGTTTTTGGGCCTGAGGCTGAGCTCAGTTGGATTGTGTAACATGAGAGTTCAGTCTTCCGAGGATTCCGTGCCCTTGCGAGCTGATTCGTCCCAGGTCTTGTCCTGTCCCTTCGAATGTCACTGGCCAGGGCAAAGGCGCCCGGGTTTCGTTTGCATGGGTCGACATTTTGAGCAATTGAACATTTAGTTCTGTTGCAGGTGCTCAGCCAGGGTCGAACGACAACGACGAGACCCAGCCATATGAAGCATCCAAGTGTGATGTGCAACCTGCTTCTTGAGTTTTGTCTTGCAGAATTTGTAGTCGGCGCCCCACGAACTGCCATTCAAGCCCCGCTGAACCTGCTCCAAAACATGAGTTTGCTAATCAAACTGGTCCTCATGGTCCATCTAAGGTTCTGAACTTCGCAGCTCAAAATCAAAATTGCCAAGAAAGAGGAAAACAGCAAACAGAAAGGAAGACTGTCAGACAGATCAGAGTTGAGCACGAAGCCTGGGAAGTTTGCTAGATCAATGTCGCGTCACAGGTTGCTGAACTCTTCCCTGGAAAACCCGGGCGCCAGCGTGCTGCGCCCGTGTGGTTACCGAAGGTAACTAACGGGCGGGCGCGCCCGCGCCGACCGATTCCGGTCGACCGAAGAACCAGCCACCCTGCCTGGCAACATAGGGCAACAACCCTGGCTACATAGGCCAACGTACGGATAGGCGGACACAACAATGGGCCAACATGTAACAACATGGATATGGTCGTGGTGCAAGATATGCTTCCCGAGTTGTCTTGCATTATTAGCATTTTTTGGCTGAGTCTCTGGCTCTTTTTCTTCTACCGGAGGAGAAAGAGCACGGACTGGATGTGTTTTATGGCGGTTTGGGGGTTGGGGAGAAGTGTCTGGAGTGGATATCCGAAAACCATGTGTTTTACGCTGTTTTCGGGGTTGCGGCGAGAAGTGTCTGGATTGAGCCTGTTGCAAAACCATGTGTTTTACAGTGTCTGCTAGGCTGCGAAGAGACGCGTCTGGATTGAACGTGTGCGAAAGCCATGTGTTTTACCCTGTTTTCGGGGTTGCCGAGAGAAGTGTCTGGGCTGGACATGTCGGAGAGTCAACCTCCGCCTCCTCCTCGCGGAAGATGCTGCCGGGGTCTCCCACCCGTTTCCTCCCTATACCCTCCTTCTCTCTCCTCCCTGCCCCGGCCGGCGTCCGGCTGTCAGGCGTAAGCCTTTAAATAACAGAAAAGACCAGGACAAAGCTTACAGAAGAAGAGATTTGGGCCGAGTATCGCCTCTCGCGTCAAGAGATTTGGAAGGAAGAACATGGGGTTGAGTGGGGTGAAGGTGATTGGGACAAACAGGACTTTGAGCAAGCATTAAAGCAAGCAAAGGGCGGGAACGTAGAGGATCAATCCAGGAAGTTTAGGAAGGCTTCAGCCAATCAGAACGACAAAGCCAAGGAGCAGGTTATGGGTATTCCTAAGAAGGTCAAGCGCACCGAGACCAAACCCACGAAGACCAAACAGAAGAAGGAGGAATCCAAGGCAGACTTGACTTTGTGTGGCTCTGCAATGGGTTCTTGCTTCTTTCAATCTTGCCCTGAGCGTTCCTGGCCTTTCAGTTTATGATCACACCCACATTTATGTCTTTCCTGGGGTGACGAGGCAGCGTTTTGAGCAGACCACGTTGCCACTGAAGTCGGTCTCCGACCTCTCAGACCAAGGAACAAGTTCCCCCCAACTGTTTTTAGGTGCCTTGTGTGCAAAAGTGAATTTCCCTTCGAAACCCAGAAAAGCGGGGTAATCACCAAACCTGTTTTTATGCGATGTTTGGCATGGTCTGGTCATCTGGCAGGGACGCATGAGTCGACGGCACAGGCCCTGTATTGTGGCGGAATCGAGGAATGGAAGGACTCAATCCTCATGTTGTTCTTGCACAATGCTTTAATTCATCGAAAAAACGATGTGTGATTCATGCTTCCCTCGTCGAAGGCAAATTTGTGGCTCCAAGGTGCAGCAACTATTGATGCTGTGAGGGAAAGCTTTGAATTCAAAGACTGTTACAAAAACACTGCCCCGCCTGACATGAGGCGCCGTGTAAGAACGATTTTGAAGGCATCTGACCCATAGTAGTTGACACCTTTGATCCGTAGTAGTTCCGACCGCGCGGCCGGCCTTGAGATCTTCGTTCCAACCCAAAGGGACTTCCTGAAACCGACACGACTGGCATGTGACTTGGCTCCCTCAATGGGGGGCCCTTTCATGGAGGTATGATGTGGAGGAGGGGTGTCTCAAGGGGAGATTGGTGGAGTTCAGCAAGGTGACCTCTGAACTCCATCGTGCAGGTTCTGGTCGTCATGGAAGAATCTTGCAAGTTACATCTTGATCATCTTGCGACAGGATTTGGCTGTAACTTGATCCACGATTTTCGATTAACATCATCCACATGGTGGATCGTTGCCGCATCGGAAACCCCTGCCTTTTTGGGACGAATGGGTTGACTGGAAATGGCACAACTCAGCCGTGGAAGGCTCGTTGGCCAAATATCCTTCAAACCTGAGAAGTCTGAAGAGAGAGCCCATCCATACAAGTTCGCACTCCCAAAGAGGCCTGTGTGTGTGTACTGTCATTTTGCAAGGTACAAGCTGAAAAAAGACCCATGGAACCCGTGTTTTGACAGGAAAAGACAATATTTGTGCGCTTCTGTGGTTGGTAGTCAAAAATAGGTGTGACTTGGGTCCTTTCTTTGGATCAAATCGCCGAAGATGGATGGGCTGACGATCTCAGACTGCGGCTGCCCTGTCCTCCTCTTCCTCCTCCTCCTCCTCCTCCGGAGGATTGGCCTCATCTGCCTCCTGGGCAACACTGAATCATCCCATGGGAAAATTGCCAAAGATTTCCATCGCGTTCTTTGAAGAGGCTGACTATGACTCAAGCAAAAAAAAACAACCAGTTTTTCAAGCATGCGCTTTTCAAGAAACACTCGTTTTCGAGCGGGTGGCTACGCCCCTGCATATGTGGGTGTCGATTTCACACATGTGATCTGTCGTGTAGTCCGAAAAATATGTCGGGATGCCTCTGTTTGAACTGGCATGAAGGGACTGGCAAATTCACACCGTTTTAGATAGTCTTAGACCAGACATGGTTCTGTTTGATACACCACAGAATCCGCGGCAAAAGAGAAGCAAGGCACCAGGATCACGCGTAAACGTTCGTCAGAGCTGCACGAGTCTCCAGGTCCTGTTCCAGTGACTCATCTTCCTGGCTCAAAGATTGTTGAGAGGGAATCCAAACATCCAAGAGTCGTCTCCTCAAAATATCTGTGATCTCTGTCGCACCTCTGAGGGCAAGTCCAAACAGGGCCCCAGGGGTGCAAAACTTCCAAGAGTCTCCCCTCAAGTCTCCGTCCTTCTGGCTACCGGCAAGAGACGTCTCGTCGGCAGCCTGCTTTCGGTGGGCACAGACTGCAAGCTAGTATGGACCTGCACATGTAGCCTTCTAGGGACCCAGTTGTCCGGATCTGTTTTTTTTCTGGGTGTTTGCTCTGGGTCAAGTTTAGGTTCTGACTGCCTAGAGTCATCCAAAGACCTCCAAGGCAATCGGATCACTTCCGAAGAGACCATGGCATGGGCCTGCAGGTCTGAGTCTCACTACCTCCTGTGCATCGGCCCCACCCTCGACACAGTCGATGGGGAACATGGCGAGCAAACAAACTTCCTCGGTGCACCCCCTGGAATGGTGGAAGTGGAGTTCACATATACTAGTATGATAGTCGGTATGGGCTCATCCAAGGGGCCATCCCATCCACTTCCATGATGAGTGTATGAATATGCTAAAGCTGGCCGCGTTTGGCAACGGCCTCATTTGGATTGGCAGCTGGAACTTCAGCCGTGTCCTGCGTGGCACGAGGCGGATCGGGAGGCAGCGGGCAGAAAAGTATCATCGCCACACACATATATATATATATATTGTAAATTCCAAACCACTATTATAGAAGATAACTTACAAATATTTATCATAGAAGATTCACAGCAAAACAATCCAAGCAAGCGTGGCAAGCCGTGTCAAAAGCATCGTTTCACGATTTTTTGCTTGTTCAATTGTACAATCCCTTTCGTCCTGAAGCACGCAAAGCAACGTGTTGCGCAAACCCAAAAACCACAAGGATCTGCAAGGGATTTGGAAAACCTTCTAAGAAACTTGGCCAGGGTCTGTCGCTCCGAACATCGCGAATGTCGCGTCCGCCCCTTTCCCCAAAGCCTCCTCTAAGAGCCGCCGCAAACGTTTCCTCTTTGGTGCCTGAAGATCAGAGATGCTTACGCGCTGACGTACTTGTCCACCTTAGACGAGCACCCTGATCGTCAGGTCTGGCCTGGCATGTCGCCTCTGCCTGCTCTGCCTGCTCTGCCTCTGTCGCCTCTGGCTGGACTTCGTGAGACCTGGCGACGCGAATGTTCCCCAGGCACTGTTTGACGCAGATCCAATCCTGGTCCTGGAAACGTCCTTGAGGAGTGTTTTTGCATGACGAACTCCAGTAAACTGAAGTCAGTTTCTGACCTCTATAGAGAGGTGTTGATTGGCATTGTCTTTGATTTTTTTTCACATTGTCAGGACTGGAGTTCGGTGGCAAAATTTGACCCCGGCGAAAAGACTATCTTTTTTGAACAAACACGTTGGTGCATCGATGACCATGGGAAGACCCTCTGAATCTTGTCCCCAGAGACCTTTCTCCAAAAAGGGAATTCACAGTGAATCGGATTCGAAACTCACACCGGTTGGTGGTTTCCCAAACAGTTTACTGTTGGGGTTCTATCTTAGAAAAAAAGAGCTGACAGGCCATTTTTCAAACCCAGACTCCGGACTGCCTTCCTCCTGGCGTCAACCAAGGAATCCACCCGAGTTTTGGCATCCCCACGGGACGCTCTCACCGGGCATCGAACCGCTTGCTCCTGCAGTCTGGGCTTGAAAGAAATTGGGGTGGCCTCAAAGTGAGTTGCCAGCTTTACTTACTCTAATTAACCGGATAAATCTGGACACATTATGAAACATGGGTGGTCTACATCGAAGGCATTGCCTTGGATACCTTTTTGAGACACCTTTTCAGCTTCTAGGTTTGTTGTTGTTGCGTGGCTTGCGTTGTTGTGTGTGTTGTTGGTATTGAAGCCCTAATGTCCTACTAGCCAAATCGACAGACGATGCCGGCATTCCAGTGGCGCTGCGTGCCATCTGCGTCACCTCCCTCGAAAACTGCACACACCCGTGGCATTCCCTAAACCCTCAAGCGCAATGATAAATAGGAATTATTATCTTCATTGTTCTGCTTGCTCCCCTAACTGTGGGATTGCTTTCCGCCCTTAGTTTCCCTGTTTTCCCTTTGCTTGAAAGCTCGAAGGCAAAACACAAAACTTTCGCCCAAAACTTTCGCTCAAAACTTATTTGACCCTGGCACCCAAATAATTCCTATAGCAGTAGCTTCAAGTCGCTTGCTACTCCTGTTCACAAGTGCAATAGCCTCCGACCTACTCGCCATGGGCAACTTTGCCCTGTCGTCCTCTTGGTGGTGGGTCGATTGAAAAGCCCTGCCGTGGCACGTGGCATCACGTGGCACCTCTTTGGGCTGACCCTTGTTTCTAGTAGCTAGTAGTAATGCCAGGAGCTACGTTCGTAGCTTCTAGCTACGTTCGTAAAAATGCACTTGTTACTATCTTGTTACTAGTAGCATCCTCACCATGTACCAAACAGCACAATTCGCTGATCTCAGCAATGGCCAATGGCCAAAGAAAAGGAAACACTTCCTGTTGTTGTGGCAACTTGAGGTCATTATCTTGCAGAAAAGGATAGAACCGATCACGGGCAGCGGATGGCAGTGGTATACCTAGCACGTTTTTTTGGGGAAACTGTCAACACATGCGCTGTTCTATGCCGGCGGACATGTACACGGCGCCCATCACATGTGGTGTCGAGATGCCTGCAGCTGTGATGTCAGGGACCCTCCAAACCACCGTTTTGTTTGCTTTTATTGGAGTATTCTGTGTAGTATTGTTGATGTGTTTCTTTGGGTGGTGTGTGTGGAGACATGTTTGTACATGATCCTAACACATGTTCATACACTCTTCATCGGCCCAACATACTTCCCGTACGACAGCATCGGTCGCAGTCCCGCCTTCATCGGTGCGGATCGGTCGAGAATTGAACTCCCGTTTGCCAGTGAAGACATGTGTGGACCCATTTCAAACTATTTTGGTTGACCTGGTGTAGTCTAAAATCCTCAAACACGTGCTTGTTTGGTAAAGACCATGAAAACTAAAACAATGGCGCGAAGGAATCCCAGAGTACTATATACCAAAAACACGGAAACATATGGAAAAACACCGCCAAGCAGGGATCCCCTTTTTCTTCGGCGGAGAATGCATGAGTTCAGTCATCACTCCCTGAAAATGCGCCCCCCAGCTTTTTCGTCGACAACGGTTTTGGACGGGAGTGTCCACCTAGATCAATTTCCATTTCTGCCCCTCCCGTTTCGGTTCCCGCTTCCGTTTGGCTACGATCAGTGCCGGTGGCACCCGCGGGCCCACATTGGCTCGGGCCACGGTCGATCGTGCCTTGGCCAACTCTTTGCGCCGTTGTCCTTCCAGCTGTTCCTGGCGACCCCGGAGTGAGACCCAAAATGACGGCCCTTTGACCCACACACGCTGGCCTTCAGAAGCTGGCGCGGGCAGCGGTTTTCCGGCGGTAAGACCTGGCGAAAGGGGAAGGAGAACCTCCGGCTTTCACCAAAGGTCGGATCAGAAAGGGTTGCTCTGGGTTTTGGCAAACCATCTAGCAAACATGCACTTTTTTACACATATGGATCATCATGGATCATTCAGAAACTTGCGTGGGAAAAAGAGATCAACCTCGGGTCCCTCGAGGCTTCTGGTTGACTGGGAAAGAACATCACCTTCCTGCATGTGAACATTCGTTGAAAAAACACCTGTGCTTAGTGACCCTACGACCTGCGACAAACATCGACAAACTGCTAGGCAAGCGACGTTCTTTCGGGGATCTCACTGTCTGGTTTGAGTATTCTTGAATCACCCCCCGGCTGGCGCAAACGGCGAGGTGATTTCAGCCGGATCTGGCAACCGACTTCAGTGCTGTGGATAAAGGCTCAGCCTTTACAGCCAAAGATACCAAAACTGGACAAAAATGCAAAGACCAAAAGGCTTGCTGCATGATGCTTCATGCAAACCCTATATAAGGTCAGGCAAGATAGGCAAGGCAGTGCTTGTCTGATTGTCTTGCCTTGCATCCAACCTGCCTGGTAGTTGGTAAAAGAACCCAAACAGCCAGCAGATCTTGGAATGAATTATATCACGACAATGGCCTTCATAAAACGATCGGCAATGCACAGCCGACCGGTTCCACCCTCTGCCGATACTTGAGCATCGAAGCGGAAAAAGGCACATGTCGATATTGGACGCTCCAGAAACTCATCGCCAAAAATCAACGGCCATGAACGACAGCAAACACAATTATTTAGTTGCATCGGATGTCGGGGTGATGAGTGGCGTTTTTTTTCTGCGCTCCAATCACCACATCCGAGCTGTCATTCGCCTCGAAGTTGGCTAACATCCTCCCGCGGAGTCTTTTGCCGAAGCGTGCCTCCCATTCGTCGGCATCATACGCGAGAACCTGCATTTTTTGCAACTGTGCATAGTGGGGCGTTTCAGAAGTGCTTGACGACGCCTTTTTTTTAATCCTGATCCTGTTTCTCTTATTCACTCTTTTTCCATCTTATTTTCCTCTCAATTAAAGTGTGCATGAGAGGGCTTTCTCATGCCACATGCCCCAAACGTGCTCTAAATTGTCATTCGAAGCTTGTCGTCAAGCCGAGGTACTCTTGAGGGGAAACCTCCAGATTTGCCGCCGGTTTCACCATCACTCATCCTTGGGATTGGGCCTTACTTGGTGAGCAAGGGACCTCTTCTGAACATAGACCTGCACTTCACAAAAACACGGTAGCTTGTGCCGTTTGTGTCCAACTTAAGCCAAGGGAACAGTCAGCGATTTGGTTGAGGTCAAACTGAACGATGGGATCGAACTGCGGATCAGATCCGTGTGGAAGTTCGGCTCTGGTCATGGGCCTTTGAACACTTGCAGCACAGCCCATGGCGACAAGACTTTGAAAGTGGAGGCCCAAAATGGCTGCATACGACAAGCTAAGCATGACTTTTGCTGAGGTTTTCCAAGCGTATCCTGATTCCTAATGTTGTTTGGATTGCGCTCTTCTGTCGTTCTATGGCAGAGGCCAGCGATTTTACATCTTCGAAGCAACAACCTTTGTCATCCGCGGCAATACTACAGTTGAAAACCACGTTCGCCAAACACGTGTGGAATGTGCAAAAGCCGGGTCTGGCAACCAACTCCTTTCAGGATGGAGTTGAAGGCTTAGCAGCAACTCATCATCCATCCAATCTTGCAAATTGCTTGGGGACATTTGAACCTTCCAAACACTTGAGATTGGTCGAGAGAGTTAATTTTGGCTGATTAGCAATGGCAGCCAATCAGCAGTGCGCGATTGCGGATTTTGGACGAGCCGATTCTTCCTCGTCAAAACCGCAATCTGACTAAACAAACACAAGGATCAAGGATCAAGTAGGATTGTGACGGCTGCAAAAACATGGGATTGTCATGGCAATTCCAAAAAGATCAAAGCATCTTTGCACAATCCCTCCATGTGGCCTTCCGGCTAGGACTCCATCCCTTCTCTCTCTGAGCCCTGACATCCCCCGGGTTGCGGGACGACGTCGCGAAATTGGCTCGGCGAGGCTGAAAACGCTTCAAAACAACAAGAATTGATTCCTTCCACACCGGAACAGAGTCTGTGCTCGGATCCAGTCGAGATCTCTCCAGTGAAGGAGAGCTCAGCTGGTGGTCTATCCCGGAGATGGTCCTGCGACGAGCCGATGTGGCCTCAGCCGATGTGGCCTCGGCCTTCGGTCATCTTTGCTCTTGGCAGGTCTATGGTGTCCAGCGCGCGGCAAATGCTACCAAACTGTGCCTCCCATTCGTCTGCATCTAGTGCCAAAACCTTGGATATTTTTTCGTGCTGTGCATATGCTAAAGCTTCAAGGCATAGAAGCTTGGTCGTTGAAGCTTATGTCTTGTGGATTCAACCAAGGCACTCTTGGAGGAAAGCCTGGCAAGTAATAGACCTCTTCCACACCATCGCCCATCTTTGGGACAGGGCCTAGGTTGACACAAGCTTGATGGTTGGGATTCTGGGAGAATAGTGGACCTTCATGTCGGGGTGTCCTGTCTGGAGATCCCGGATGGTAGTGTAGGGGCTTCCATTGGTGACCCCGACATGAAGGTGCTGGTATATATATATATATAATATAACATAATATATATTACACATCATTATATACCCCAAACACTCCATGGGACCGGAATATATGCCTATACATTGACCCTCAAACCACTAGCCTGATCGGTCAATATGCCCGTCCGGCGTCTTTGGGATATATATATATATATAAATAAATCGTGGTGAACTCGCGTGAACCCGTTTAACACCACGTACCTCGGATTTCCACGTACCTTGGTACCTCACTGCTGGAGACGAAGGCGTTTCTTGCACACCAAGGCTGGGCGGTCAAGCGAGCGAAGGACGTTCGTCCAAGGCGACAAGGCGACAAGGTCTGAGACAACGTCTTGGAAACATTTGGTTTTGGTTTCGTGCGCAAACTGCATGCGATCTATAGATATATCATATATATATATATACATACCTAGACCCAGGGTGACCCCATATTTTAGACTCAGACCAAAGACACAAAACACATGGTCTTCTCCTATCAAAACAGGGGTCAGCCCAAGCCATGGAAAAAAGAACATGCCTAAGCTTTCTAGGCTTTCTAGGCAGGAAACTGTCAGCGATTCGGTCAAGAGTGACTGTGCAGAGGTACAATGACCCTTCAGTTTTCATAGTCGAAGACTTTGGAATGCTCGCGGCACCGCCCATGACCGGAGACTTGGGATACTACTGTTGTTTTATCCCTTTGACTCTGCAGCCCAAAGAGGCTGCGTCACCGACCACCGTTTGGTTTTCACGGACATTGCTCTGATTGCAAGCCTGACGGTGTCATTCTTTTGCGTTTCACGACGTCTTACATACGGAACTTGAACAACACTTCGGATCAAGCTTTTCACCACTTTCCGGCAACGAAGGTGCGTGCCTTTCAACACAGCTGCAGCGATAGGAAATTCTGTGAGCAAATCTGAGAAACATGTATTTCTGGTCCAGCTAATCAAGCTTAAGCATGCCATGCTGGGAGAAAGTGGGAGAGCTACCGCTGCAACGATGTTGCAGTATAATGCAAACCCAGGGAACTTGCAACCCAGGGCCGGCAGGCATTTCTATTTGAGTTGGTTCTATCGAACTATATACAAGAATCCCTAATCAGGGCAAGCTGTGCTACATTGTGCTACCAAACTCTATTGAAGGTTGGGTGAGAAAGCTAGCGGAAGCATTCGTGAAGTATCCTTTGCCTCAGATCCTTACCTACAACGCAGATGAATGGGAGGCACGCTTCGGTAGCTTCTACAAAATGCTCCGTGATACAGAACTGCAGGAGAAATCTACCATGAAGATGAATGTGTCAGAAGCCAGTCCTCAGTAAAGTAGAATGATGTTGCCTTCGAATGAAAAACAAGCCAGACACGTACGGTCCTGTAAAAGGATGTTCGGGCTTTGGCAGGTTCATTCATGAAACAGCATATGATTCAAGCATATATCAGCATTTTCGGGCTATATTTTTGGCTTTTGCCTCCGATCGAAAGTAAGTTGGTTCGACAAGTGGTTTGTTGCTGTACAGTGGCAAAGAACACGCTTGCCTGGCAGCCTGTGCTACTTCGTCCGGTAAAGGGGACGTTTCTGCTTTGGCAGTTCAGGCATCAAATACAACATGGTGATTCATGGTGATTCAAGCTGTTATTTTGCCTCTCTCCTCCGCTTGCAAAGCAGTTGGGGATTGGAAAAAGGTGCGTTGATGTACCAAGCGTGATAATGTCTTTTCCAGCTTGTGCCTCCAACATTTCAAACCCAACTTTGGAAACCTCTCAAGCAGCCTTACGCAAGTGCTGACCTTCAAACGAACGATTTCAGTGGAGGCACTCTTGAGGGGAAAGCTGCAGATGGCGCATGAAGATCACGATCTCTGATGCTTGGGATTGGGCCTTACTTTGTCACGGGACATCTCAAACTTGAGAAACATAGTAACAAGAAGCTACTAGTAGCAAGGACGCTATTAGGTGGAGGCCATCGCAAGTAGGTTGGAGGCCATGGCTACTAGTAGCAAGAAATAGCAAGAAGCTACTATGTCACAGAAAGCAACACATGGGGTGACAAAAACACGGTGCTGTCAAGCTGAGTCAAGGGAACTGTCGGCGATTTGCTCCAGATCAAACTGAACGATAGGATCAAACTGAACCGGATCAAAGGTTGGCGAGCTCTTGCCTCTAGTCCTGGAGGGCCCTGGAATGCTCGCACCGCAGCCCATGATGGAAGACAGCTGGGACGACTACAGCCAAATGGCTGCGAAGAAGGCCAAACTCCGCTCCAAGTCAAGTGACTGAAACCTTGAAAAAGCTTGAACCGGGTGTAACTGCAAGGGATTCCCCCAAATGGGGTTTGCACTTGAATATCGGGCCTTCCCAACCAATGGATTTCGCCTGATTGTGATGTTTGAGGTCGAACAAAGGGGTCTCCCAACCACACACCCAGATCCCTACCAAGTCCCCAAGTGCAGTCACTTTCCGCAGTCACTGGACGCGCAGACGCCGCGCAGCTGTAAACCACGATTGTCTCCACGCCTCCAGGACACATTCGCTGCCTTCCTGCTGGAAAGATGCGAGGGTGGTGCCCTCTGGAGTGAATCATGGTGGTGCCATCTGGTGTTTCTCCACCGCCGATTTCAGGTGGATCGGACCCACGATGCTCGATAGCTTCGATGCGACAATCGAAAACGCTTTCACGTCAGAAACAACGCAGCATTGAAAACAAAAGAGGGTCCCAACAGCGCAAACGGACGATGTGGACTTGATGGAGCCACTGGAGCCTCGATCGTTGGGAGCCACTTTGCTCACGCGTGACCGGTAGGGTTTCCGTGCACCGTTTGGGGCTTTTGTTCACTTTGAACCTTGAGAAACGCATCCTTCAGGCATCCGCTAATGGCGCTCCTTGCTGTCCGCCTCTGCCCAATCAAAGGACAAGCTGGGAGCCTGGGCGGGTTTAGGGGGGGCTCTGAACAGGCGACGGGTTCTTTTTCGGCCGAACACGTGGTCGCTTTTGCAAGTGAAACATATACCTTTACTGTAAGACACACACACATATATATATATATATATTATATACATATCTACAAACGCACCTACATATCTCCATCTCCGTGTATCAATCAATCAATCTAATCTAATCTAGTCTATTAACTAATCTGTTTATCTGATCTATAAATCTCACCTTCAAATGGGTGTTCAATAGACATCAAATCCTTTGGAGACCCCGTAAGGAAGGTGCTGGTAATTGCTGGTATATATATATATATATGTATAACTATATGTACATATATTGACGTATAACAAACACATAACACACACACACACACTAAAACACACTATAAACACATAATATAGAGATAGGTACGGGTCCTTGGGGGTACCAAACACTTCCTTTTCATCTGCAACAAGGGTGGTGCAGTGGTTTGGATGGTCAGGGCGCCCTGCGTCACGGGCGGAGTTGGCTGTGACCCTGAACCAAAGCCCATCCTCCCCCTTCGTCTCCCCACGAGTGCAGCCGCTCGCACTGATCGCCTGACATCGGTTTTTGAACGGAAGGGCGGTGAAACGCCCGGCGGAACGGGGCGGGCGTTTGGACCCCTCCCTGAAAGGGATCCAAATGATCCAAGTACTCTACTTAAGTCAGTTTGACGTCATGAAATACTGGACATGGTCGTACAACAAGACTGGAGAGGGCGTCACAGAGCAGGGTTTATATGGCTTTACTGGGTCGGACTGGACTTGTGGTACCTTCTCAGGTTCGGTACGACTGGACCCTCCTGGCACCTACGTCTGAGAAGGTATTTGGATCAGTTTTCTTTCGGTGGAAAAAGGCTTTCGACATGCCAAGCCTCATGGGTTTGTGTTTTGTGGCCTTCTCCAAGCATGTTCGGTGATTCGGGCCCCCTGACATTTCACCCCCCTCAACTCCCCTAATTAGGGCATACTCATGGTATATCTGGTACTCAGTACTCCGGCAAACACCCGAAGACGAGGTACGTACCCCCCACGACCATCGAATCCCTTCGAGGCTCCACACAGGTCTGCGTCGTGGCTCGAAGGCGTGTGCACGCGGCCCTGGTGAGGCGGCCCACCGCTGTGCGGCGGCGTTTTTCTCGCTGCCGTCGCTAGGAGAAACATGCCACAACGTCTCACAGGATGTCAGAGACCCCCGCGGAGCGATGGCCTCGTCGAAATGGTGGTGAATGACTAAAACCGGTCTCCCATGGCAGACGCAACAGTGCCCGGGCCCAAGACTGGTACCCCAAGGCCAATGGGCCTGGAAGAGCTCTGTTGCAAGGTTTCGAGTTTCTACCAGAAGCATCTCCATATAGCCACGAGAGGTGAAGCCATTCAAACGATAGTCCGACCAACACACCACAAATCACAGTAAACTCGGTGAACCAATGTTTTGTTCCATCCATTTTTTCCTTTTGCCTTGGCAATCCTGAGTTACTTATTATAGATCCGTTATTGCATCAGGTTGTATCATTTTGTACATGATTTCGTAAGAATGCTTCAGCACCGGAAAGAGTCATGCTGCAGTCGAATGCCCCACCACCTCCGCTCGGGCCGCCCCGCCTTTTCCACGGCGCGCCGCATCTCGGCCAAGCACCGCTCTTGACGGCAGGCCCGCTCCACCTCCAGAGCATCACAGCAGGGAACCGCGACACCCAGTGATACTCGAGTGGTGTCGAAGCACTTCCTTCCCAGCGGCATGACGGTACACATTCAGCTGGTGCAACTTACGTAATCCCATCCACCTATTAAAAAAACATGAGGGCCCCCCCCCTAATAAGAAAACCGGGATTATGGGGAGGCTTTTTTGATAGGTACTCGGGATTATGCATATAGCATGCTGAGCATGCTGTAGGCCAGCTCAATCAACCATATGTCTCTTTGCCTATGGCCCGCCACCCCGGTCCGACGTGAAGGGCCATGCCGGGCTCTGCCTCAGAGTCACTGTCTTCTCCTGGAAAGAAACACCAAGGGTGGAGGTCAGGGTCAGTAGATACCTCGAAGCTGAGTCTTTTGGAGGATCAACTCTCCAAAATGTGGTCTCATGGGCCTGTTCCTATCAAGTGTGCCTTCATACCCCAAACAGTTTCAGCATGTTCTTTTGGCTTTATCTTTTGGTATCAACTTTTGGAATTCCAGAATTCCAACGTTGGTGGTAGAGTTCTCCAGCTGTTTGGGAACGGCGTGTAAAAAACCATAGTTTGAAAACAACAGTTCCTGATTCCGAGGTCACATGTGGAAACACGAAGGGATATGTCATCAGAAAATCCGACAACATGAGGGTACGGCCCCTACTTAGGAGGGTCCATGAGCGTCTGGGTAGGAACGACGTTCCTACACCTTCTTTTGGTACAGATAAATGTGTGCGAATGAGATTATGGTACATATTTTTATAAATCGAGCGCATTTTTGAGAAGGCCAGTTTTTCGAGCACTTTTTTTTTGAAGTCCATGATGGTCCATGATGGTGCATGTTTGCACTGGTTTGCTTGGATTGCACCAGTCTGGGTAGTTTCGCTCGCATCTTGCAGCAATTTTGTTGGCTTGTGGCCACGTTGACTCCTGCACGAGCTGCAATGCCTGCCGGGGAAGGAGGACACTCATCTCTTGGTGATGGTTTTGTTAAAAAAGTTGGTTTCTTGACAGGAGTCAGTTGGGGTGTGGTGAAGCCTGATACCGCGAAGCTGGCATTTTGTCAGATCTTTTACTCGAAGGCTCCAGTTGGATCGGTATATATGTCAATGTGCTGATTGATGCGCGCAGGCTTGACTGTCTGCAAAGTGCCCCTTCCACCTTGAAGTTGCGTGTGTCCATGCATGCTTTAAATTTGTGCACGACAGCTTGCATGCATGGATGTCATCCCTTCATGCACAATCATGCATATGATTCATAGTGCAGAGTTGGCTGGCTCAAAAAAATGGCACACTTTGAACAGGCCGCCTTACTGGCCACGGCTTGGGCAAATAATGCCGAAGTCAAACAAAGGGCTTTGCATCATTCCATCATGGAAGTGTCCAACAGCAAGAAGCTGAAAAGGGGTAGATTTCTTAGAATCTTTGTGAAGCAGTTTTACCATGTTGTTGTTGCTGGTTGTATTGCATTGAAACCTCCGAGGTGACTTGAAGAACAACAATGTCGCCATTGGATTGGCAGTGAAACACTGCGGTGTCAGGCCTTGCCTTGCAATGTTTGAGCAAGCTGCTCATCAGTTCTTTAGCTTGGCCCTCCCAAGGGGCAAAGCCTTTTGTAGCATCTGGGTGTGATGAATAGGTATAGTGCTTTATGTGCTTTGTGAAGTGGAGTTGGAAAGCAGACCAGCTCTAATCATGCATGCCCTCAATTGCTCTTAAAAGCTTGCCCTTCAGAGCGCTTCCAAGGTATCCGGACCAAAGCTCACGCGAAGCTGGCCATGCGATTGGTGTATGCTTTTGCTCGAGTGGCCAGGTCATGGCTTCAGAGTTCACAATTCTTCATGATCGAGGGGTTAGTTCAAGCAGTTCTGTCTTCATATGTTTCAGGCGACCTCATCGTCCTCGCAATCCTGAAGTCAGAAAAATATATGAAATTGCTGGACTTCCACTGCCAGGCGCAAAAAGGGGCATGAAGTTGTTTGCATAGCAGGAATGTGTCACATTCTGTCACTAAGTTGTTTATGCACTAGGCCCCAAAGAAGATGCAAGTGATGAGAGTGAGAGTGGATCGTCTAGTGTTTCTGACAGTGTTCCTTGGCTCATGCATTCAGAAACTCGCCAACACATCATAACCAATCAATGATTGCGCAAAACATTGCAGAATCCATGCATGCAGAGTTTTGGTGCTTATGTATTAGGAAGAAGATGATGATGCCACCTTGGCGACTTCATCTGCAGCGACTAACAGGGCAGAGAAGAGTGAGCCACCAGTCCCTGCAGAGACTGCGCAGAATGGGGAGGTTTGTCTTGGTGCCTCTTCTTTGGTGGCAACCCCTGTGGATACTGCTGTGCTAGCATCCTCTTCTTTGGTGGCAACCCCTGTGGATAATACTTTAGCAGCAGCCTCTTCTTTGGTGGCAACCCCTGTGGATACTGCTGTGTTAGCAGTGGAAAGTGGGACGACTACGGAATTGACTCCCAAATTGGTGAGGAAGCCTGAGTTGAATAGTGCCGTGTTCCGTTCTCAAGCCAGCCCTGCGAAGGGTAGCAACTTGCATGCATGTGGAGTGCTATTCTACTTGTCAACAATCATAGATCTATGTCTTCTGAAATGTTGCATGCATGCATGCCACACAAAGGCACAGTTCCAGCTGCAAGTCCAGAAGGAGATGCGACAAATTTTGATCCAACATGTCTTTCGTTAAAGAAATCCCATTTGTCAGCTTCTTCCAGGATCAGAAGATTTGGCGGCTGATTCCCATGCAGCCAAGTGTAGCTAGTAGTTGAACCACTTGTAACTTTGTAACATGCATGTTGCAAACTCTATTTTGCAAACTCTGCACTGCACTGGGTTCCTTGGTGTCAGGCAAGCAACTTTTGTTGCTGGAGATGGAAGAATTGGAACTGTTGCTTTTGCTGCAGCAGTCGCAACAGCCACAGAAACCATCAATGCCATTTCAGCCTTTGCCGCCTTGTGTGTGTGCTGCCCTCATGACACGTTATACTTTGCAACCTCCAGCATGCCAATCAATAGTTGTGCTTGTGGTGGTGTGCGATGCTTAGGCATAGATACTGTGGAGACCCAGCAGCCAGAGATGTCAGTATGTTTGGAGACTGTAGCTGGTGAGTTTGTTGCAAAAGAACCTCTGCCATCGTCTTCTGTGGCTACTGGGGGTTTGCAAGTGCCCGTGGATGCAACGCCTGTGAAAACAAGTGTTGTTGTGACAGCAACTCCTGCTGCTCTTGTGATGGAAGCTCCTGCTGATGTGTCAGCAGCTGTGGTGGCTGGTGCGGTTGTGACTCCTGCTCCTGCTCCTGCTGAGCTTGTACCTGGTATGCCTGGACCTGCTGAAGTGGTTGAGATTGAATCTGAGGCTCCGGTGTCTCCTGACAACCAGCTTGGGATTTCTCCAAGTGATGTTGTGATGACGGAAGTTGAACCTGATGATGAGAGTGAGGAGAGTGAGGGGTCTCATCAGGAAGATGATCAGGTGATTGAGGAAGATGCGAAAGACGAGCAGAAGCTTGGGAAGTCGGTGTTGGTGCACAAACTTCGAGATGCTGTGCCCTGCCTTCATAACTGCCAGCTACTCACTTTGACAGTCACATGTACACGCAGTATATAGAGAGCTCTAGTTGGTTTTCATGCGTCACTGCAGGTTGGAGAAGCCCCTTCGGACTGCGGGGAATGGATTTCCAAAGGTAGTGCGATGGGTGCACCGGAGCAAAAGAAACGTGGACGTAAGCCTGGAGCAAAAGCAAAAGCAACAGCAAAGGCAAAAGGCAGAGCCGCAGCAGCGAAAGCCAAACCTAAGTCATCACCACGTGCGCGAGCAAAGGCAAAGGCAAAGGCGAAGGCAAAGGCGAAGGCAAAGCAGGCAGCCAAGTCAAACCCTCGAAGCAGCGGAAGCAGAGCAAAACCAGAAGCAAAGCACACAACAAGAAGTGATGAACAGAAAAAACTCAACTCTAAGAAGTCATGTGCATATGTAAAGGCTAGGAAGGAGGCACTGGCTGCTGGATTGCCGGATGAAGAGGCAAAAAAACGTGGAAGACAAGTTACTTGTTTGAACAGGGTGCAATTTTTCATGTGTGTTGACTATGCTGCTTTCACCTCCCTAAACAGCTTGCATGACCTCTTGTTGTTCTTTTAGGCTGCTTCGAAGGTGACGACGATCTGAACCAGCCGTGATTTGGGGGTGCAACTTTAAATGTTGCTTGGGTGAACACATGCACATGCATGTGACAATGTGGCACTGTGCCATGATCATCTAGGTTACAAATTTGGCATGCGTGAGAACATGCATGCCTTTCATGAGGCTGTGATTGAAGCTGATGCTCAAAAGATATGCAATGATAGATGGAATGGTTTTATTCTTGGAAACGTCCATGCATGTCTTTGTTTGTATCAGGAGGTACCTTGCGGGCTCCATGGTTAGTTGTTGCAAACCTTACCTCCAAACCTTTATATGTTGTTTTGTGGACGCTGTGCGCAAACTTTTGCATGCATAACAGTTCTGACTGAGCGCATTCATGCATGCATGGACTTAAGCTGCTGTAGCCGTTTTGGTAGCAAACATGGACAAACGCTTGGGGCAAACGGATGAGGAGAGGAAACATGTCTGCTTGGAATGTGAATGTGCAGTTGAGTTCTTGCTGCCTGCAGGAGACCTTTATTCGGGCAAGACTAGCACCTGCAATCATGGGCTCTGCTGTGGCTGCCTCAGGATTTGCAGAAACTCTTCTTCGTATGCTAAAGCTTGACCAATCAGGAGGATCCTCACAACTGGGAGTCAGTTCTACGAATGTTGGGTGCATGGGGCTTGGTGAGACTTGAAGATCAAACGGACAATTGTGGTTGTGAGAAGCACCAGGTGAGCGAGTCTACAATAGCGATCATCTTCGAGGAGTGTTTGAGAGTGTTTGTACTTTTTTTCTGGACCTCGAATGCAGGACCCAAACCTGGCCTCTGTCATGCATGAGTTGGCAAGGGCTATACCAGCACAGGACATACATAGATGATTATGTAGCTTGTTTCACTCATGATATCATCCGGAGTGTTTGCAGGAATCACTCAGTGGATCACGCATGACCTTCCAATTGCAACTGCGTGACAGGCATTCATGCATGTTGAACATGTAAAATCCTCACAGTCATGTATATACTTGTGAGTTTGCAGGCCAGATGATCCAGAACCAGAACCTCTTCCGCCCACTGGGGAAGCTGCTGCGCAATCAGAGGTTCCGATATTCATGCAGCCAACCCCCAAGTTCATGGCCCATGTACCTGTACGACCAACCTCCAAGGCCAAACCAAAGCCAACA